CTTTCCCAGGGAGGCAACGTGGCACAGCAGAGGTGGAGGACTCCAATTAGCTCCGGGGCTGCGGGCAAGTGTCTGAGGTCTCCACCCCAACTCTCCAGGCGTCACCAGGCCAGGGGCTCCCCCGCCCGGCAGCATCTCAGCAGAGCCCAGCCCACACCTGGCCCACACCTGGCCCTCTGCGCCCTCCCTCGCTCCAGATGACCTACGTGCTGCTGTGAGGGGCTTCGAAATCCACCCTCACCGCTGCCAGAGTCTGGGCCCGGCCTCAGCAGGAGCTGCCTCCAGTTTCTTCAGCTCCTGTTGTGCTCAGGCTGAGCCTCTGTGAAGGGAGGGAGGTGATCCAGGTGGGGAGGAAGGGGGAAGAGGATATTCTGAGGAGATACCACTTCCTGAGCAAGCCAACGTTAAGTGACTTCGTGGCTATAAAGGATGCTAAACATACATGTTTCAACCTTGATCCAAATTACTATGATGCTGTGGATCGTGATGTTTTGTGGGACTGTTTTTCCATTTCGTCAACAATTCCAGAAATTTCACATCGAAACGTGTCAAAAATTAAAGGAGAACTCCAAGAAAGGCCTTTGCCACACCTGACCAAGCCCCTCCATCTCACAGGTGAGGAGGCCCACACAGGCAGACGCTTCCTGGGGTCACACAGGAGGACAGTGGCAGGGCTCTGCCTCTTCCCTCAGGGCTTCCTCCCCGGCCCGGCCCACCTGAGGCTCAGAGCATCCTGGGCTGAACAGGATGCGAAGCCTTCTCTGGCTGTCCCACTGTGTAAAAGGCGCAGCCCCACCCTTGTCAGCTCCTGGCCTGGACCTACTCGGGAGCGGGCAGTGGGAACTTGAGGACTGGACATCTGCTCCGGCCTGGCTCTGAGCTCGGGGCTTCCTGAGGCCCAGACTGGCTGGGGAGGGTGGTACTTTCCAGAACCAGGCAGGCCTTGGAGGAGGGAGCACGGAGGGACTGGGACACAGTTGTAGGGGTGACAAAAGGGTCATCAGGGACAGCGGAGCCAAGGTCATCCAGAGAGCTGGGGCACCTGAAAAGCACATCACAGAACAAGTCACGGCCTCGCTGTGGAGACCCTTCTCCCCCAGCCCCGCCCTGGAGAGCCTGTGCCCATCACCCAGCTCACCTCAGACAGCCCCCTGCCCCCACCCTCTCCTCACTCAGAACAGATTCTGTAGCCGGCCGCCTCCTCTGGGGCCTGCAAACCCGCAAACAAGGCTGGGTCCACGTGCTCCCCCCCAGGACCCTGGGTCTTCCGTCCGTCCCTGCCGCCCAGTGCACCACTGGGCAGGAAGGGAGCAGGTGCTCAGCATTCTTTTTTTTTTCTTAATAAATGAATGCCTGAATCCACATGCAAAGTCTTATAACCCTGCCTGACCTTGTCCTCCCCCAGCCCCGGGCCCTTCCCCACCCCTGCCCGCCTGCCCAGCAGTACCTGGGGCCGAGGAGGCGGCAGTGGTCACTCCCACAGGAAGTGCACATACCAGATCGTCTCATTCTTCAGCTGGGGCCCGAACAGGGGGTTCAGCTGAGCCAGGATGGCGATGAGCCAGCTGCCAGGGACAGCACAGTGAGGGTGAGCCCAGACACAAGGAACTCTGCCGTGCACACCTCACACCACGCCTTTGGTCACATGACCGACCCAGCAGCAGGGTCTGGGTTTTGGAGGGAAGCGTCTCATGGAGCCATCCACACTGTGGCCGGCACGGGGGCTCAGTCTGGGGCGTGTGGGTTTGGGTTTAGGTTTGGTTTGATCTGATGTTTTGTAGATTTATAAGATCCCTGCGCTGGGGCTGGACCCTGGGATTAGGGAAGAGGTAAGACAGTCTCCAGGGGCACAAAGGGAAGCCATACTGGCTTAATTGAGCATGAGAGGCCTCCCTCAAAACCAGAGCTTGGATTTATTCCTCAGTTTGGCAGCCAGGGTGATTTAACACGGAGCAACCTAACATAGGAGGATTGGGGAGGGATAGCAGAGTGCCTTTTTTGTAAAAGGGGAGGGGCTACCATGAATGGCAGTTTTAGAAAGAGAACCTCTAGACATGAAGGACCTGGAAATTGATTCCCTCACACTGTCCAGGCACTCGCATCTCTTGGAATGTTTTCTATATCCCAGGGACCTTTTCCAAGTTTGAAGACTACTGCTCATCCAGTGGTTCTAAACTGGCTGCATCACAATTACCCAGGGGCATGCATTGAAAATATGGATTCCCAAGTGCAGATCATGAGAACTGTGGTTTAGTGGGTCCAGGGTGGAGCCCTAAAAGCTGTGTTTTTACAGTCTCTCCAGGTGATTCTGATGTCCCATCAGGTACAAAAGGCACTGAGCTGGCCCAACTCACTCATTTTGTGGATGAGAAAACTGTAGCCTACGAACATGACAGAGCTTGTCCAGGTGCTACATTCAGAACCAGAACCCAGAGTTCATGACTTCCAGCCCATCGCTCTCTTTGCCTCTCCAACTGCCTCCTCTTCTGTGCTTTACAGCCTCAGCCTTTCAAGAGCTGAATGTGCCGGTATCAGGACAGAGGGGAGAGCAGGGCTGGGAAAGGAGGAAAGAAGGGGGCACAAAGGCCCCAGCTGACTTGAGCTGGGAGAGCAGTACTTACAAGAGGTAACAGCAGACAGCGGTGGCCACCAGCATGGTGATGGTCACTCTGCAATGGAAGAGGACGTCAGGTCAGGACGGATGGAAGCATTGCCCCCAGGAGGCCTGGCCGAGGCCAGAGAAAGAGCTCCTCGTGCCAGCCCCTTTCCCGTCTGATGCCACCTGAACACAGGGAGGCTGAGTTCTACTCAGGGTAAGAATTGCTAGATGGAAAATAAAAACGCCAAGTGTCCCCTCTTGGGGAGGCCAACCTTGATCACGTCCAAGTTACATTATGCATCTTTCCCTTCACCTATCTGCCTTCTTAATCCCACTGTTTCTCCATCTTAATGCAAACATGTTGGGAAAAGACACTGCACAGAGCTGCACTTGCAGCCACCCACCATGGAGTGGCCTCTGGAATCCAAAGTTCATTGGGCAAAGGGAAGGAAGACAGAAGACCAGAAGACAGGGCAGGAGGCAAGGAGACCGTGAGCCATCTCTGAGGCATAATGGGCAGTTATAATGACAACAGCAACTGGCTACCTTGAATCTACTCAAACGCTGGAGACAGAGGCTTTAAATGCAGGAGGAAAACTTCAGAAGGAAGAACTCACCAAGGTCTGCAAGGGAGGCGAGGCACTAAAATGGCTTACAAAGTAAGGCCATGGGACCTCAGCCCTGCAGGTCCTTTTTTTTTTTTGCCACTCCGCGCGGCATGCAGGATCTTAGTCCCCCAACCAGGGATCGAACCCGTGCCCCCTGCAATGGAAGCCTGGAGTACTAACCACTGGACCACCAGGGAAGTCTCTAGCCCTGCAGATTTTTAAGAACAGAGGCAACACCGAAATGCAGCGTCCAGCCAAAGCTAAATCTAACCCAAACCAGGCCCTAGGACCTCTGATCTAAAGTACTTTAAGTTGGTGCCAGAGCAATTAGCATTTGATCCATTCTTTCAACATTACCAAGCACCGTGGGCCAGTCCTGTACTGGGCAATGGGGTCTACAGTGGTGAACAGGACAATCTTCCACCTCGAGGAACTTGTAATCAAGGGGAGAGAGTGCTTTACAGCTGAAGATGGTATGAAGCAGAAACTGGTAAATGGTGCAAGAGGTAGAGAAACCTGCTAGGGGACCTTCAAAAAATAATGATACTGGGCTTGGTGGCACAGCGGTTGAGAGTCCGCCTGCCGATGCAGGGGACACGGGTTCGTGCCCCGGTCCGGGAAGATCCCACATGCCGCGAAGCAGCTGGGCCCATGAGCCATGGCCGCTGAGCCTGCGCGTCCGGAGCCTGTGATCCGCAACGGGAGAGGCCACAGCGATGAGAGGCCCGCATACCACAAAAAAAAAAAAAAAAAAAAAAAAAAGATACTGGCTAAAAATTATTCAATACAATATGTGCCATGCACTAAGAGTCTTATATACATTATCTTGTGTAATCCTCACAGCAACCTTAAAAGGCAGGTATCATCATCACCCCCAATTACCTAAGAAGAAATGAGGCTTGAAGGTGTGAGAGACGCTCAAGGTCACAGCTGGGCAGGAGTGGACAAACTGCATCAGTGTCTAGCCACAGCCTTTACCTTTACAGGCTGGAGAGGGTGACCCGTAACTGTCTCCACCTTTCTAAAGCACGAGCATCTCTGCCCTTTGGCCCCGACCGCCTGCCTGTTCCCTGCTGAACGCGGCCCAGCACAGACCTGAGAGGAGGAGTGGGGCGCCGTGCGCGCGCCTGGACAGTGCTCGCTGCACCGCGGGCCGCCGCAGCCGCCGCCGCCCGCGCAGCCGCCGGGGAAGGGGGAGCGCGCGGCCGCGAAGGTGTCCACAGGGAGGCTGGGCCGCGCGATCCTTACCCGCGGTTGGGTCCTTTCGGCACGAACCAGGGCCCGGCGATGCCGATGAGGCCCCAGAACGTGGTGAAGATGATGACCGGGAGGGCGAAGGAGTGCGCCGTCATGGCCCGGCGCGGGATGCCCAGGCCAGGATGCGAGTCAGAATTGCAGATGCTCCGGTGCGCGGAGGTCCGGCCCAGGCAGTGGGCGCCGAGCATGCGCAGCAGGACCCGGCCGCCTAAGAAAGCCCTTTCAGCGAGCCCGACCCGCGCAGGCGCTTCAGCGCGTCACTCGGGGTGGGGGCGTGGGCGGGCTTTGCTCTGAGCCAGAGATAATTAGCTTTGAGCAGCTCCTTCAGTTTGCTAGTTTTGGTTACGGGATTGACAGGACTGAGGCATGTGTCGAAATAAACTCTGCTTTATTCAAATAGAAAAAGGTTGAGAATCAGACATGGTTTGTTTTTTTTTTTTTTGCGGTAAGCGGGCCTCTCATTGTTGTGGCCTGTCCCGGTGCGGAGCACAGGCTCCGGACGCGCAGGCTCAGCGGCCACGGCTCACGGGCCCAGCAGCTCCGCCGCATGTGGGATCTTCCCGGACCGGGGCACGAACCCGCGTCCCCTGCATCGACAGGCGGACTCTCAACCACTGCGCCACCAGGGAAGACCCAGACATGGTTTTTTAAACCATGTTTTGCACATCTTTGAAACCAGAGGAGGAGAGAACATCCCTTGGCCAATTACCTGGGGTGACCTCGTCAGCCACTTGGATGAGGGAAACGGCCCATCTTCACACTGTCCTGCTAAATACTTAGCACCCTAGGAACTGAACCTGCGCTTCGAGGGAAGCAAAGTGTCTGGAGTAGATTACACTCCAACGTGTCTGGCTAGAACAGGGGGTCGGGACCCCTCCTTCCCACCTGGTCTCTATGGCTATTGAACTCAAACTGTCAGTTAAAATGCTGGTCACTCAGAATGTCAGCCCTGTGGGCATGTCTATGGAGACCACAGGTAGGGAACGAGGGTGGAGGCATGGCTAGGACTCTGGCCAAAGGCAGAGAGAGCTTGCTCCTTCCATCCCCAATGCCCTTCAGCTTGTTTTTTTGTGAGGCAAAAATAGGAAGGCTCTCCAACAACAGGGTCTCCAGGCCCTGGGGTCTGAAACGCTGCAAGTCTCTTGAAACAAAACGAGATGTCAGCTTGAGCAAGGGGTCTCACCAATCTTCAGCCTGGGGTCCTGTACAAAATGGTCAGTGTCCTCTCTGCCATTAGCGAACAGAGGGGACCCAGGGCATGCCTGTGCCCCTCGAGAAAGTGGGTAGTGCAAATCCCTGTGACAAATAGCATTTTCAGTCGCCCCCCCCCCGCCAAGGGGCCCAAGTTTCTCACGAGCTGGCATCGGAGGCTTCCTCAGAGCACAGACGTGGAGAGGCAGGGGCATCCCTAGCTGGCCTCCACCTCCACGACTAGACTCGCACAGGGAATCGTGCGTGTGGCACTCAGGCGCGGCGCTGCTCGCAGGACTAGCCTCTTGCTCTGAGGATTCTTAAAGGATAGAAGGTGCCATGGGGAGGATGCCTACGAGAAAGTCACCTCAATCTGAATCGCTATGGATAGGGTGGGGGGGCCCACTTTAACGGGCCCTCCTCCCTTCCATCCCACCAACTCATACCCGCGGTGCCTGGCCTAGTGCAGATTCCTGAACTCCCCACGGTGACCTATGCGAATGGGGGAGGGAGGCCTGGGCTCCATCTTGGCCATGTGGACAGTAACACCACCAGGGTTCAAGCTCTAAGGGCCCGTGGTACACCTCAGCCCCCAGAACACGGGGCTGTCAGGGAGACAGTGCCACAGGTGAAACGGCAGAAAGCAAAAACGGAATTCCTGGCTCGAAGCTGAAGAAAACAGGAAAGCGATGGCGCTAAGGCTAAGTGCTAAGGGTGGGGTGCTGGGAAGGGAGAGTCAGAGACACTGGGAACCAGGGGTTCTGCCAGACAGTGAGACACTTGCTACCAGCATCTCAGGGGCTCTCGGCACCTTCTAGGAGTGGGAAGTGGACAGATGGCTGCTTGAGGGCCAGGCCACTTGGACCTGCGTCACAGAGCAGGGACCCCACCTAGGGCCAGGCAGCATGGCCAGGACGGAGCACTACTTCCTGCCCGCCTAAAACAGGAGAAAGGCAGCGGCAAAGAAGCCCTTCCCTGTAACCTCCCCTCGTTTCCCAGCTGTGGTTGGGGAGGCGGGACCCAGACTACATCATCCTCAGGCGGATGAGCAGCCTCGGAACCTGCCCAAAGCAGCCGCCCTGCAAGGAAAAGTGCTTTACTTCAGGGTGCAAGAGGAGATGGGCTGATGGGGGGAGCGCGACGGGAACCAAATAGCGTGGGACACCCTTCTGTGCCGCCAGGGTGGTGGTTCCCATGCTTGAGTGAGCCCATGAAGTTCCTGGGGGGCCTTGCTGGAAACAGTCCCGGGGGTCTGATCAGGTGGGTCTGGGGTGAAACAGATTTAAACAGACACCCCTAGTGATTCCCAAGCTGGTCCCCAGAGCAACTTTGGGAAGAGTGGACTAGACCATTATGCTGAGGGCATGTTGAGAGAGCACCTCTTCCCGTAATAAGGACTTGGGTGGCAAGGGACAAGGACAAGGGCTGAAGGCAGCCAAGTCCACTCTGCAGCCTGAGGGCCGTCTTTCAGAGCTGGAGACGCTGTCATCCATCGGTCCTGTGGCAGCTGGGGCACCAGCAGGCACTTGGCTTCTCTACTGCCTGCAGCAGAGTTGGGACGGGGGCCCAAGCCCCCCCAGTGCAAACCTGTCCTGTCCGCTCTGCTCCGTAGAAGACCCGGGCTCAGCACAACACAAGGGCTGCGACTGGTGGAAAACGCCAGGCCCCCTCCAGGGAAACACTCCTCCCCTGTCTGGGAGCTGCAGGAGGATAACCTTTCTTGATTGCTCTGTGCCAAGGGGTTCTGCTTGCCTCATCCTAAAGGAAGGCCCTGGGAGGACACAGGGAAAGTCTCTGATGCGAGTCTCCCATTTGAAGTTGAGGCTTCCCTGCTTCTGCCATGGAGTCAGGGGGATAGATCCCAGAGCCAGGCCGCTGTCCCTAGACCTGCTCATCCCAGGCCCCTCACCACGTGTCTACCCCACGCCACTCAGGCTGTGGGCAGCCCGCTGGGATGCTCCCCAGCTACCCAGGGGCTGGAGGGCTCCTTTAAGCCCCCTACCCCCAACCGTCTCTCCCACTTCAGAAAAGTCCTCCTGCCACCAAAACATGGGGTGAAATCTTTCATGATGGAATTGTCTCCTGAAGCACCTTTAAAATGAGCTTGAGACGCGAACCCTCCTGCATACTCAAGTGCTGGAGGTCGCGCCCAGCCTAGGCGGGGCCTCGGTGAGCAGGCTGTGCGCCTCCTGACCCCCTGCCTCCCTGGGATGTGGGCTGAATTATCTTGTCACTGCCGCTTCCCAGTGCTTAGGGAGTCCCCACCAAGTGAAGACTCTAGGGCAGCCTAGAATCCCAGGGCCTGTCACCATGATCACGAGGGCCAGGGCAGCAGGGGGCTCCAAGGCAACCCCTCAGGGTCCTGCTCTTACAGGAGCGCTTTATCAGGACAGCCCAGGGCCTCTTGGCTGGGGTGGGGACACAGGAGTCCGTGATGCGGCTCTAGGACGCAGTCCGTCAGGACCTCCATGGGTTCCCTGTAGGGCGGGATGGGCGGCTTCTGGGTCACGGCCTCCTCCACACGGAGCGCTCCCATCTTCTCCTTCCTGAGCCCCGCCCCTCGTGCGGGAGGAAAGGGAGGGTACAGTCAGACAGAGAAAACAGATCAGATGATAATCCCCTCCCCACAACCAACTGCGCCCCAAGGTATGTTTGGTGAAGAACCCCTGGCAGAACCCCTGGAGACGGACAAGGGCTGCTCTCTGTAGGCCTGATGGAGTCCCACTCTGCTGACTTTCACCCTGGGGCAGCGGAGCTCATGCGGAGGGGGGGGGGGCAATTTTGCTCCCAGGGGACATCTGGCAGAGTCCGGAGACCTTTTTGATTGCTGCAACGGGGAGGGTGCTACTGGTACCCAGTGTGTGTGTAGTGGGAAAGGCCAGGGGTGGCCAGGCGCAGGACAGGCACCCACAGCGAAGAACTACCTGCCCTAAGCGTCAGCAGTGCTGAGGCTGAGAACCTGCCTGGGAAAGAAGGCTTTATCATACACAACCTGGCCGCGTTCTCTGTTTGCTTCAGACGTACTAGTCCCGTCGCCCTATGATTACAACTTGCAGAAGCGCACAGCTGACGGCGTCTTCTCCTTCACCCTCACAGATCGGGCACTGAGAGCAACTCACTCACCAAATGCGTGGGTGAAGGACTCCCATGTTGGAATCACCCTCTTTCCTTCTCTCCACTTCTATTGCCCGCTCCCTGCACCCGCCCCCCAGCTGCAGGTCCAGGGCCACCATGCTTCCTACAGAGCGTCTGTCAACCCTGAGGCCAGTCCACTGCTGCTGATCACAGACCCTGAGGTAAGATGACAGCAGAAGCAAGAGGACGGAGACCTGCTATAGGAAGACGCCAAGGGAGAAAAACCATGGCTCTGTCACTGTTCAGTGACACAGGAGCAGCCTGGAGAAGCTCTGGTTTTCTTTGGTGTTCAGTGACTACTTGAAAAGAGGAAAATTTCTTACTTAAGACTTCCAGTAACTTGGCCTCCAGGATAATGTCACCTCCCCCTCAAGCCCAGTCCCCACCTGGCCTTCCAGGCTAGGCGGGAGGCTTTCCTCACGGACCCCTCCCCTGCCTGAAACCCCCAACCTTCTCCTCCGCACAGCGCCGTCCTCACAGCCCCTGTGACCTGCACTGACCTCTTCCCTCTACAAACGGTCCGCACAGCCCCACGGGGATGTGGTGTCTCTGCCCTCGCTGGTCCAGTCCCCGAGTGATTTCTGGTACTAGTCTGCACCTCTAAAGACTGCCGTGGGCACTACTGGCCAGACGCTGTTCCAAGCCCTTCACGTCTATTAATCCGCTTTACAGATGAAAAACCATAGCACAGAGAGATTAAGCTGCCCCAGGTCACGTGCTAGTCAGCGGCAGGACGAGAATTTGAACCTGGGCAGCCTTGCTCTGGAAATTCCTGCTCTTAGCTCTATGCCCTGTGCCCTGCAGTGTGGGCGTCCTGCCTTCTAGCTGGATCATAATCTCCTGGAGGGTAGGTGTCCCGTCTTGAGCACCCACTGGTCTAGCAAATGGTAGGGCACGTGACACCTTAGGGCAAGCCCACTGTGACAGCTGACTTGAGCAGACTCTACCAGGCTGTGAGCTCAGCATGGGGCTGGGAAGCTAAGATTCTCTTCCTTTGCTTCCCCACGTCCAGGAACTCTGCCACGCATACTTACTTGTGTGGGAGCGGGGTGGCACTTGGGCACAGGTGTAGACGTGGCTGAAACGCCGACCCGAGGAGGTCAGGTACCAGTGCTGGATGGCGGGCTGGGGGTTGTACTCTGTGACCGCCACACCGTTCACCGCTGTCATCATGAGCATGTTGGTCACCTCGCTGGAGAGCTTGGTCCTCTCATCGGTCCTGATCCGGTTCATGGCACTGAATCCGCGCTCACAGCAGGAGGCGGAGACGGGCACACAGGCCACCACTGCCACGAGCCTGCTGAGCAAGGGGAAGTGGCAGTCCTGGGCCAGGGCGTTCCTGCACAGCATGGAGAATGGCAAGTTCTTGGCGACGGCTTTCAGGCCCAGCCACTCCTCCAGCAGTGCTTCCTCACTGTATCCTGGGGGCAGTGAGAGTTCAAAATATCTGGCCAGGGCAAGAATATCATCATTCCCAAAACCGGCCAGTTCCATCCCACTTGGCCAGGCCATGGCGTCAAACACCTCCATGTTCTTGAGCTGAGGGGGACGGTCCACGTCAAACCTTTGCTGGAGGTATTCAATCCCAGTCAGGATCATTCTCTCCCTGTCCGCCTGGAACCGCTGTTCTGCCATCTCCATTCTGTCCAAGAAGATGCCGTGGAGCTGCCCATCCCTGAAGCCGGCATTGAACTCTTCCTCTTTGGGTCCTGCCTGGTGACGGAGGGTCTCCAGTGCTACATAGGCCCGTCCCAGCGTGGAGTTCACCTCCGTAATCAGCACGATCTCCTTCTGGCACACTTCAGATAAAGGCCTGTAGATGCTCAGGAAGTCCAAGAGGAAGTGGCAGAACTTGACGAAATGGAAGCCCTTCATCAGCTTCAGCACGCCCTTGGCCCTGTGCCCGACCTGGCCACCTGCTTCCGCCACGCTCTGCAGGTGCCTGGCCAGGGCGGGCCAGCTCACGATGAGCGCGCTCAGCGTGCGCCTCTTGCTGGCCACCCACCTGACAGCGTTCAGGTCCTTCAGGCGGATGATTTCCTGCTCCAGCGGGGCCGCGCCTTCCTGCAGCTCATTCAGCCTTTTGTTCGAGGACTGATAGAACTTGAAGACGGTTCGGATGTGCCGGTCACACTTCTTGACCAGGTCGATGCCTCCACAGGCGTCAACCACGGCCAGGTGTAGCCGGTGGGCCACACAATGCACCGGCAGCAGCTGGGGGACGATCTCCTGGAGCTTCTCCACCAGACCTCCTCTGCAGCTCAGCATGGTTGAGCCATCGGTTCCCAGGCCCACTACCCAGCCAGGCTTCCGGAAGGGGATGTCCAGTTCGTCCAGGGCAGAGATGATGGTCTCAAAGTATCCATCCACCGTCTCGCTGTAGAGTGGGGCCAGAGTGATGTAAGACTCCTTCACCTCCATCCCCTTAAAGTAGCGGATGTAAATGCCCACACAGGACTGGTCGGAGGTGTCTGTGGCGCTGTCCAGCAACACGCTCACACATGGGGAGTTCCGGACATCCTCAAGGATCTCCTTCTTCAGAGTCTCGGAGATGTATTTGATGAACTGAGTGCAGGCGGTGCGATTTCGGTACTTGCCCAAAATCACGGTCCCAGTGCTTTGGAGGAGTTGCAGGATCTTCTCAAAGTCGTTCAGGGGCCTCGAGTGGTACGCGATGGAATAGGCGGCATTGAAAAAGTGCTCCATGTCGGCCATCAGGTCACTGGAGATCTCGGGGACGAGGGCGGCCTGCGGGGTGTCTTCCTTGACTTCCAGGGTGTTGACACAGAGCTTGTGTGCTTTGCTGACTTCATGGTACTTTAAAGTCTCCACTTTAAAAGGACCCGTGTAACCTCGGACTAACCGGGATGATTTGTCGTGGAGACTAGGTCTTTCTTTGCAAGCTGAGCAGAAGAGCTTGGTCTCTTTGGGGTCAATTACTAACCATGGGAACTGTCCAAACCACGACCTCTGAATTGAGCGGGGTCTGTAAGTCCTCTTGATTTTCCTCCGTCCATCTGCTTCTACTTCACAAAGGCTGGGATTGCAGTAGGAGGTGCACGTCTCCATGGCATGAGCTGGGAGCAGTGCAGATTCTACAGCCGAGGCCTGTGTGTGTGCCTCTCTAATGGCCACCGTCGTCTTCTTCCCTTTGGAGCAAGTCAAACTGTGCTCGGTTTTGCTGCCCAGAACTCTGCAGCCTCCTATCAGCTAAGACACCCCAATTCAGTAAGTACCCCTTTATGCAAAGCAGAGAGGATGAATGTCATCCACCTTTCTAGAAATCAGTAGTGGCTTCTATTTAAACCCTTTCCCACTAGTTTCCCTGAAAGCCAGTCTGTCTCCCCAAGAGTTGTCTGCTAATCCTTGTGGGTTCTTTAGCCAGCCTCCCCCTCCCTATCTACATATCTACCCTGAGATCATGTGACATCAGATGCTAATAAGCTTACTTAGCACCTTGGCCACAGATGCTATTAGATGGTTTTAATCCTCTTTCGAGGCACCACAAAGAAATGAGGTTAAACATCCAAAAGTCTTCTTATGAGTCTTGGAAACAAGGGAGGCACAGAAGTATACACAGTAGCTATTAGCCAGTAAGTTACTGACAAAGATACACGAATTGCTAACTCTCACAGACCAACAGTGTTGTCACTAAACACCAGAGGAGCGGGGAAAGGCAGCAGAGGCTCCCAGCCGTGGGTCACGGGGCTCCTCATGGCCAGTGTCCACCACGCACCACCCCCATCAGCTCTACCACAGTCTCCCCGTTTCACTTCTGCTCATCAAAGCTCCTTATTTTTCCCAAACCGTCCCAGTTTCTCAGATTCTTCTACACTGTGAAGGCACAGTTAGTTTCTTATTCACGTTTTTCTACCAATACAGGGCCTGGTGCACAACAGGTCCAGCAGGAGGATGGCGGAACTAGCACTGTGTGACTTGCCAGGGCTGCCTGGGCCCCCGGACAACCCTTCAGAACCCAGCAGGTCAAGACCCACCTGGAGGACGGCCTTTCCCCCACTTTGGCCCGTTTGGGTCCTTGATCCAGGGTGCAGCTCTCCGCTCCAGTTTTGAGATCAAGTCTGGTTTGGCAGCAGCAGGCCCTGTTGCAGGGACGAAGAGTCACAGCGACATCACAGCTCTGGACTGTCAAGTCAAGCAGCCCATCTGAAAGATCCAGGGAGGCCTCTGGGTGCATTTCCTAATAAAATCTTTCCCACCAGGGGCACGATGAAAGCATACCCACCTAGGGTGCCAATTTATTTTTAAAACCCATAGAGGCACCAAATTAGGGTGTATCCCTTAGCTCCATGGCTCACCCATGGGAGCATGACTCAGCTAAACGAATCTGGAGGGGAAAGGGTGAAAACAGGAAGAAATACGGAGGACAAAATAGAAGGAGAGAGGACAGGGATGATAAGGAAAGCCACACGAGTAGTGGGAGAGGGCCACCAACACCTGTCCCATGCACGTGGCCCTCAGCAACACCCACAGCTGGCCTTGGTGCAGGTAGCTAACTACACGGGGCACCTGGAAAGCCCCTTAGCGCTGTCTGCCACCTGCAGTGGAACCTGAAATCCGACTAGAAGAGATTCGTGTCTTTGGGTTAAGCACTGCCCTTTACTGAAAATATGAATATTCTGCAGGGCTATGCGAAGAAATTGCTTTCTTGATTTAAAGTAAAATCCATTAATCTCTACTTACATGCTTTTTATGTATCTATGTGAAAGGGTGTATAACCTTTCTTTGGAAAGACATATACAAGCCACTGGTAACTGCGGGCACTTCTGTGGAGGGACTGAAGGACAAGGTAAAAGGGAGATTATTTTCACTATTCATCTTTGGATCATTCAAATGTATTTATATGTTCATGTGTGTGTATGTATCCACATATTTACAACTAATAAAAATATAATACATTATTAATCTGTGGTAGATTGAACACTTATTCATCTTCAAACGTCTCTAAAATGAGGGCAAAGGGATAATAATAAAAAGAAGCGTAAGCCCAAGAGAAACATTGTACTAGAAATGTTAATACATTTTTAGATGAAGGAAAGGAGATAAAAGAGGAGAACTAACAGAGCTGGACACCAAATGCCAGCAGAGTGGGTAATAAGGACAAAGAAGTGAACTTGACCCCAGAATCCCCAAAAGAGCCAGTACCTGGAGGCACCAGGTGCAGCAGAAGGTGGTGGGTTAAGGAGAGACCGGTTCAAGGCCAGGTCCGCTCACCTATTCCGGGAAGCCAGAAAATACCACCACCCTCCCCCAAGGAGGAGAGAGAGGTTGGTCTACAGAAAAACTTAACCAGAAAGGTTCTGGGCCCTGGGATGGTGGGGTGAGTGAAAGATGAAGAAGAGCTGTGATGCAAACAGATGGAGACAGTCTACAGACCAGAAGCTGCGTTACCCGGCTCCAAGAACACCAGCTTGGGGTACAGCCAAGCAGGAGACTGGAAGTTTTCTTTGGAGAAGTGGAATTGCCCCTCCCCAAGCCTCCTCCCCAAAAGACCTACGGATCCAGACCTTGCCGGGCTCTTCAATGAAACATCCAGGTTCACAGCTGGTCACCCTACAATGTAACCTACCCCTTGAGTCCCAGCCATGCACACAGAGCTTCCAGCCAGTTTTTAAGGCTTTACTCTTAAATGTGAATGAACCTAAAGATATTTATTTAAGACAAACTGCTAACAAGTAGGAAAAAGGATTGAAGGAACTAGAGATACTGCAGGAAGCAAAACAAAATTTCAACCCCCTCCCCTCAAAACTAGAACATTCCCACAGAGAAAAGTCATGATAGTTATCCATGAAAAGAGCAATAAGGGCTCTTAGTTTAAAATATGATAGAAAAAAATGTTTTAACTTAAATAGAATTGTTAGAAAATAAAATGGAGGAAAACTCCAGGAAAGTAGAACAAAAAAGACAGAAGCAGGAAATAGGAGAAAAAGAAAAAAATAAAACAAAACCAGAGGCTTAATTTAAGAAGTCTAATATCCAACTAATAGGACTTTTTTGGAAGAAAGAAAAGAGAAAATATAAAGGAAGAAATAATACAAGAATGTTTCCCCAAAATGGAAACTGTGAGTTTCCACATGGAAGGGAAGCACCAGATATCCAGAACAAAAGATGAAAAAAAAATCCGTATCATTAAGCACTAAGTACTTCAAAACACTGGAATAGGCCTTAAAACTTTTCAGAGTGGAAAAACAGGCTGCGTTCAAAGATTTAGGAATAAAAAGGTATTTAGACTGCTCAACAGCACCTGTAAAACCTAAAATCAATGCTTTCAAAATGCTGAGGAAAAACATTTCCAACCTGGAATTCTATACCCAAACCACATTATCAATTGTGAGAGCAGAATAAGGGCATTTTCAGATATACAGAGTCTTTAAAAAATTTCCTCCCATGAACCCTTTCTTAGGAAGTTACTGAAGGATGTGCTCCAACAAAATGAAGACATAAACCTAAAAGAAGCAATAGATCCAGGAAACAGGAGAGAGATGAAGGAAAGTCTAAGCCCACAGCTGTGCAGCAGGCCTAAAGTATAACTAGTTTAGCTAGAGCAGAGGAATGGAAGACCCAGTGACAGAAGTTGCCAGAAAAAAAAGTGAAACGGATAGGTCACAGGATGTTTGATGATGTGGAAAAGACTCTTCAAAGGAGTTATATAATTCCATGGAGAGTTTGAGAAGAATTGGTGATAGTACAGAAAGCTAGCAAAGTAAAAAAATAAGAAAAAATTTCAATTCCTGGGGGGGAAAAATCCTACGACAAAGGAAACATCATCATAATATGTCACTTTGATTAGAAGTAAATAATACATAATCATAATTAGGCAAATAATTTACATTGAATTAACCAAAAAAGTATGATATACCTGTTCTGAGAGGATGGAGGGAAGAGAAGTGGGGGCCTGGGGTGATGTAAGAGGGCCATATCTTCATCCTCCACAGTAGGAATCAATAGATAATATCTAAAATCAATAAATCAGGAATAGCAATAAACATATGCAACAGGATATTAGAGTGTGATTCTGTCTGCCTGTTTTGGCTGAAGGCCCCCCCAAAATAGGAGCCAACTCTCCCCCATTCCAAAGCTAGACCACTGAAGCCGACTTGGAAAGAGTGGCTGAAACACTGGGCTGTAACCCAAGCACTTGCCACTAAGAGGGAGTCAAAGCACTGGGAGTGAGGAGGTCAGGAAGTTGGATCTTAGAGATGCTTTGGAAAGAGCTGTCAAGTGTACTGTGAGCCCTCCACACTCCCATGGGGAGGGGTGGGGTGGACTGGGCTACTTTCCTCTGACCTTAAGCCTAATGGGAATGACATCCTGACCTGTATTTCCTGGAGCTGTGGGGCTGCTCAGGAATCCAGGCCTGGAAAAGACTAAAGGCATAAACTGACCAATGGTTCCTTGGTGGTGGCCATGTTGGGAAGAGCCTACATTCACAGGGCTTGTCAGAGCAAAGGATATATAAGTGTTTTCCATGGTCCAGATGTGAGCCCTGGAGGGAAAGAGAAGAAGCCCAGAGCCACTTAAAGGGGCTGCCCCTGTCTGCCTATTGGTGATGCTCCCCTAAGGAGCCCATATGGGGCAGACTGCCAAAGCAGACGTTACCCACTGTAGTGAGAGATCTCCAGTAACGGGGGTTTGGGGGAGTGCAGAACCCATAAACACACTTGGAGAATCAGCTTTCAATTATCCCAGCTACATGTAACTGGTATCAGATTACATGGATGTAATTCTTGTACCTCTCCTCCCCACCTACACACCACCATTCCCAGCCAGGATGCAGCAGAAATCCTGGAACAAGCTGGGAGGTAGGAGGAGAACTTCTTTCTTCCTATCACAAGATTCCGGATTCTAGACCTAAAGCAGGTCGAGGTGGGAGAGGCAAGAAACTTCAGCTTTAAATGAAGTCCAGATTTTTAACCACTACACAAGGACTGGACTTTTGTTTCCTGATTTTTTGTTTTTGGTCAATTTTTGATATCATTTAAAACCTCTAGAAAAGTTTTAATAATAAAACAAGGAACTCCAATCATTTGCATTTTGTTCCATTTGCTTTATCATGCCCATGTGCCCTCTCTCCCTCCCTCCTTTTCTTCTCTCTATATGTATAATATATAAATCCATATATATGTATATGTGCAGGCTGCACACTGGAGTTACCTGGGAAGCTTTAAAATATATAAGTAATATATATATATATATATATATATATATATATATAATATTTTTCTGGACCATTTGAGACTAAATTGTTTTCATTCCTCCCTTTATCCCTAAATACTTCTGTGTGTAGTACTCAAGAAAAAAGACATTCTCTTATCGGGTTTGCAAAATTCTAACACGAGCTCCATGACCCTAACCCTTGCCTAATCCCTGCCCCTTGGAGTGTGACTGAAATGTGTGAACTGATATAACACCCGTAATTACATTACATAGCAAAAGAGATGTTGTCTGGGTGATTACTTAATGTAATCACATTAGCCACTTAAAAGCAGAGGAAGTCAGAGAATCAAAACACCAAAACAATTCAATGTACTATTGCTGGCCTAAGGGCGGAGAAGGCCATGTGGAAAGGACCTGGGAGCAGGCCCTAGGAGCTGAGAATGGTCGGCAGCCAGAAAGAAAATGGGGACCTCAGTCCTACAACCACAAGGAACTTGATCCTGCCAACAACTCAACAACCCAGTGATTCTTCCCAGAGCCTCTTGATAAGAGGCCAGTCTGGCACACTTAATTTCAGCCACGTTAGACCCTAAGCAAAGAACCCAGCTAAGCCCACCTGGACTTCTGAACTCCAGAACTGTGAGATAATAAATGGGTGTTTTTTAGCCACTAAATTTGTGATAATTTGCTATGCGGCAACTGAAAACTAATATGTCTTATATAGTCAAAGTATAATGATCAAAATCAGAAAACTTAACATTGATATAACACTATAATTTAATCCACCATACTGTTTTCCACAGTGACTTACCATTTTATATTCCCACCAACAGGGCATAAAGGTTCTATCCTCAGCAATAGTTGTTTTCTATTTTTTTGATAGTAGGCATCCTTATGGGTGTGAGGTGGTATCTTGTTGTAGTAT